ACTTCAATGCTATAAAGAAGAGGTGCCTCCATATTAATCTCCTCTAGTTCCTCTGAGCCCTCGATTCTAAACCATTGTAGACGTGGAAGCCCCTGCCCCTCCTCCAAGAGATGCTTCAGTTTGGAACACCCACTGATATTCAGTCTCCGTAGGTGAGGGAAGTGGACGGCGCCCAGCTCCTCCAACTTCTCCCATTCCTCTATCTCCAGCTCCTCTAGATTATCAAGTGGGCCTATCTCGCACAAACTTGTCACCCCACCACACGATCCAACTTCCAGTACTTGTACATTTTTCGGAAGTAGAGCGTGGCCATCCCCACCAATTTCTCCATCTACCCTTGCCGCAATACTGTGGCAACTTTCGATGATTATATGCCTTGCGTGCATATCCATAAAGGAGTGGTCTCCTGATTCATTCAACGACAATTCGTATGGTAGGGAGCTGTTTTGCTCGAGAAACCTCACGAATGCATTGAACGTTTCAACATTTGAAACAGAGCAATAAAGTCCTTCCACCTTTGATAATATTATCTCTTCCTCTTCCTCTTCCTCTTCCTCGTCCTCTACCTCCTTTCCCGTCCTCTTTTTAATCACCAGATATTGCAAGTTCACCAGCTTCCCCAACACTCCTGGTAACGTCTTGATCCCTGTGCCCCATAGGTCAAGGTACCTCAACTTTACCAACATCTCCATCCCCTCTGGCACTTCTTCTAGCATTGCACACCCATGAAGGTCCAACTTTCTTAGGGATCCCAACTTTTGTACGCAAGGTATACGGCATAATTCATCACACCCTCGAAGTAATAGTGCTTCCAAGCTCTCCAAGAGAGAGATGGCATTCGGTAATTCTGTGAATCTAGTGTAGCTGAGATCTAGAACCTTCAGCCCCTTCATATGCCTGAAGAAAGATTTGTGGATAGCTTCCAGAAACATATTGTTATTCAACGATAGGCTCATAAGTTTAGGGCAATTTGGTGATATGCCGTCTGGGATTTCTTGTATATCGTTGCCCTGTAAAAAGACTTTCTCTAGACAATCGGTCCAGAACTCTTCCTCTGGAATTTCTTTCAATCCCATTTCGGCCTTGACCACGTGTGTTGTGCTCCTCATTATATGCAATGCCATGCCTCTTATCAACGGGTGTAGAGATATATGTTGTCCATCTTCATCACAAAGGCAACCCTTTCTTAATTTGTCTAGTATGATGTTACCCTGTTCGTACAGTTCTTGCCGGGTGCCAATTCTATCTAACAAACCCTCATCTATGAAAGACTCTATCAACTTTGTTTTACTAGATTTTTCATATACTTGGGATAAATGCAAGAAACACTGTTGCACCTGAGAATCACCCAAGTTCACGTAACTAATTTTCAGTCTCTTGAACACGTTAAGTTCCACCCTCGACTCTTCTAATTTCCACAACATGCCTTTCCATTCGTGCACTTCCTCTACTCTCCTCATGTGAGTTGCAATCTCAATGATCCCAAGTGGCAAACCCCCACACTTATCAACAATGGACTTTGCAATTTTTTTGACTTCTGAAGGAAGTTCTCTCCCAAAGCAGAGTTTCTCTCTAAATAAGCTCCAATCATCTTCATTTAATTTTGCTAGAGGTTTTATTTTGATTTCCTTTTGGCAGAGCATCTCATGACACACATTTAGCGATCGAGTTGTCAATACCAACTTAATGCCACCCTTCTCAACTGGAATTCCCACATCCTCAAAGTCGAAGTGCATCCACAGGCCATCTAAAATTAATACAGCTCTCTTTTTCTTTAAATGCCTATTCAACATGGACGCCCTCCTTTTCACGTCCTTATCCTTTGAGAGGTTGTCTAGTCCGACTGCATTGGCAATCTCGTCTTGTAGTTCACAGAAGCTAAACTCTTGAGCTACAGTGACCCAAAACACGTCATTGAAGGCAGAATTCTCAAGCATTCTATTATGGACATGCATTAAAATGGCTGTCTTGCCAACTCCTCCCATTCCATAAACACCAATGATGAAAATTTCATCCTCCATTAAATAGTCACAAATCTCTTCGATTGTCTGCTCACTTTTTTTGCCTACTAGCTTTGTTGTTACCAAAGGTGAACTTTTCCTACATCCCGCGCCATGTGTTGTCAACCCTCTTTGGAAGCTACAATAGCCTAGAATCTCTTCAATTTCTTTGCTCAAGTCGTCCACTCTTTCTACTTGTTGCGCAAAAAAAGATTTTCCTTCTCGGAATGCTTGGACCATACTCCAGTCTTTTATCCTTTTTGATTGCCTATACCATGTCTCCAACTCATCCAAGTCTGCTACTCGTCTGCTTAGTTCTTCCAGCTTTCTTTTCAGAGTTGGCATATATTCGCCAACAAGCCCAAAAACACCTGATCGACTATCCATGAGTGCATCATCTGTCCTCGCGTCTAACATCAAGGAAATACTTATAGCATTTTATACAAACATAATATTCATAAAACAAATTGAATTTATGAAAAGAAGAAACCATCAATTATGTCTAAATGAAATTAGATAAACAATATGAGTGTAAATAAAGGATCAAAGTTTCAAGGAAGGCGGGGTATTTGGGGTTGAGTACTTGCCTTGTTCCTGGGCTTGGTCTCTTAATGGGTTGATGAGAGGGTATAGTTTAGGTACGTTGGGTTTAGGTTCTACTTTGGGTTTTGGGTCTGCTGGGTTTAGTTGGTGTAGGTTTGGGTTGAGCCTTTTGGCTCTTGGGGTACCTATGGCATGGGTTGAACTGATATTTGAGCCTGTATGGGATGGGTTGAATTGATATTTAATTAGGCCTGTATGGGAAGTGGTTCTCCCTATATTTTATATTAATATACAAATATGAAAATTGAAGTATGTATTTTAGCAGAAATTACTCGTTTCAATACTTTGAACAAAATAAACTACATTACTGTAATATTGAGAGAAAATAATAAAATCTTTCAAAGAAATACTTTATAGGAAGAGTTACGAAAAATGTTAGAATTTTCAATAAGTGTTAATTTGCAACATTAAAAATTATTAAACCAATCTTTTTTTGCTGGATGAAACTCATGGTATGGAATGGGGCAAGTAATCCAAGTTGACGGCAAAATGAGTCGAGAGTGCAAGAAAATACTACTTGCAAAGAGAATCAATCTCTTGCAATTTAGACTCGTATGTCTCGACCAAAAACAAAAAAAACTCCTGTGTGTCACTCTTAAAGGCAACCCTCAAGAAAGAGCTTGTTATTACATAATTATATAGACGCTAACATATATGTACCCATTCTTTCAAAAAGTTCGAGCAGTACAATACTAGAAAAATTTAGATCAATCCCATAAGGCAAAAGTAGAAGTTAAAAATAAAAGTCACCGTAACAAGACCTTAAGTTGAATTTTCAAATTAAAATCGAAAATAAAAGAGATATACCTCGTTTCCACATGTAATGTACAAAGACTAATGCCCCAACACTGTCCTATTAAAAAGGAGCAATACTTGCTTTCAATTTGATCTTTGATTGGTGGGTGATCCATTTGGCTGTTACCCACCCGTGACGGTAATTAATAGCACTAAGAAAAACGAAACCACACAATATTGATGGCTTGGAGGCAATGGATTACAATCTTTCGCCCCATTATCGTACTTTAGTTAGTGTCCCAACAATTCCAGCCATACTTTAATTAAAAATTTGAAAACAAGTAATATTCATATAACTTAAATTTAATATGATTGAAGGTGTTTTTAGTTAAAGTCTCATATAGGTGGCATTTGAATGTGAAAACAATCAATTGAAGGATGATTTGGAGATAAGTATGAATCATTGAAAGAGCAAATAATTTATTATACGCGATCCGAAAATAGTTATATGTGTGCAAGTGTTATATCTTGTGTGGACACATATTTAACAAATGGGGAATATTTCTTAGATGGATGTGCTTGTGTCATTTGGATAGCATGGGAGTTGAACTTAGCTCCGCCATCATGCATTATAATACAAAATAAGAAGTCTTATCTTATTTCTCTAATCATATGAGAAATAACTAGCAACGGTGCAATCTTAACCCCATATTTTTCCTAAGGAAACTGGACAAATTAAAAGGGAAAAAAAGAAACATAAAATTATTAATGACCAAATATTCAAATGATTTTATACTTGTATTACGAACTGTTCCAATGTGACGAGATACGGTTCTTTTTACTGAAATTTTATGAAATATTGTCAATCTGTTAAGTTCAAGTTAACCGCATTGTATTATGTCATGTTCAATTTAGGCTCGGTTTTCTCAATAAATTTATATTGTATTCGAGTCATGTTTTTGCCAGTACGAAACACTTTGTATTCATTTTACTTTATACAACTCATTGTAATTTGATTTCTCTTTTCTATTTAGTATCAAAATCCAAATCGAGAAAGAAGTAAAAAGGGAGGCTAGCTTGGATTTTAGTGTGCAATTAAGCGATTCCGCAATTCATATAAACAAAAATTCACTAGCAAAAGGAAAAAGTATAGCGGAAGGACTAACGTTGGCCATTTTTTAACATAAAAAAGATGGAGGGATGATTTTGATTTTCGGACAAACTAGATGCGCCACCGTTAATATTATTCCTTTAATAAAATAAAAAGACAATCTTTATTCCACTCTTTCTCGCATCCGGTTGCCCACCTCTCCTAAATTGAAACTTGTGTGGTCAATATGCCACCGTTAGAAAATTTACTATAACTGCGCCGTTCACCTAGCAGGACGCTTCCACGATTTGAAAGAGAACCATGGCTTTTCAAGATTTGAATGTCACCCTTCAAAGCATTTGTCTGCCCATTTTCTAAGAACCATTAGTTATCATTGACCCGACTCTTATCAAACTCCTCTCTTCCAATTAATTCCTGTCTATTTTGGGTTTTCTATTACTAATAGAAATCTAAGCGTCCTGCCTATATCCCTATTCTTAGCTAAGGATTAGAAGACAAAGGAAGCGTCCTGCACGAGCTGTAATATATGGTGAATTTGGAGATGCACATACCTTGTGGAACCTCTGTATTGGGTTCTCCCTCTTCTGCGTTCACTGGGGCTGGCATGTTAGTCAAAGCTTCAGGTGCGAGATCTGGACGGCTGCTAGGATAACTAAAATTCCACGGCTGAATGGAAGAATCACCAGCTTGAGATTGAGGTTGTTGTGGCGAGAATGGAAATTCGCCCCACGGGATCATGTTTTGAGCCGGAAGAGACTGACTGGGCAAATTTGTCTCAAGCAATGGAAGAAAGGCTGATGAACTTGCACCTACAGTGCTTATGACATCAGACCTCGGGTCCGGCATGGCAGCAAATGAAGTCTCTCTCCGAGCATCTTCATTGTTCGCAGTCACAGGCAGATGCGGACCCTCTTCAACATTGCCCTCTGCTCCATTGCTCGGCTCTGCCGCTCCTTTACCCTTCAACGCATTTCTGGCTTCCGATCTCACTCGGCCGTTGACGTCCTTGCAGTCATTGATCCCATATCCTGCGACTCCGGCTAAGTGGGCCTTGATCCTGGTCACACTTCCGCGATACTCCTTGCTGCAGAAGTTACACTTCCACTTGTTGTTCTGCAGGAACTCCACATGATCCCGGAAGGAGTCCTTCTCTCTGGGCATTTTCTTAGAGTATCCCTCAAAAGAATGAGCAGATACGTTTCAAGGAAGACCTTAGATCTTTTTGTGGTGAAGAAAGGTGCGGGAGCCTGTAAGATATATAATGAATTTTGGACTTGGGAATAGGGTGAAAGTCTTCGTCAATCCCCAATTCTTTTAGAAAGAAGGCCCCGCTTCAGTGACCCCACCCCCATTTCTAGCCAACTTCTCTTTTCACTTTCGGATACGAAGAAAACATGTTTGGTTCAACCATGCACAGGGTAAAACCATCCAGTTTACACGCATCGAGTATGGCTTTGACAGGCAGCTTTGAAAGGTGGTTAGAGTTGGGATTCGCGACGTGGCTCAGACATGGACCTATAACATCTCTGACGAAGCGGTTGACCGACCACTCAGAAAATTATGGAAGTTATTTATGATAAAGCGCAAAAAAGTCTTCGCTCACCGGAAACATTGAATAAAAGTGATCGTCTAGTAAAAATATTTATGTTCTTTTGTTCCCAGAATCAGTTTGAGAACAGAAATCTATTTGCTAAAATTTTTATGTTCGAGGCACAAATTTACAAAAAATTATTCCCAAAATCAATTTTAGAACAGAATTAAAAAAAAAAAAAGTAGTTTGATTCAACAATTTTTCCATTTCTGATTCTTCTTCTTTCTTCTTTTGTTTGTTGTTCTTCTTCTTCTCGACCTGCCGCCGGCCACTGGCGACTGACTACAGGCCAGGGCCGGCGAGGGCGGCTCGCGGCCGCGACGGCGGCTCGCGGCCGCGACGGCGAGGCCGGCGACGTGGGCAGCGGCGAGGGCCACAACTCCCTCGTCGGCCCTGGCCTATGGCCGGTCACCGGCGCTGGCAACCGGCCATGGCCAAGAAAGGGAAGGGAAAGAAGGAAAAAAAAAGAAAAAAAAGGAAAAAAAAATAGAAAAAGAAATATTAAAAAATTCAAAATATTATTAATAAAAAGAAATTTTGTGTAGCTACCAAGCGCATTTCTATTCTTTTTCTATTCTAGAATAGAAATTTTGAGCAGTTACCAAACGCCTTCAAATGCTTATAAATTGTTCTCGGGTATGGAATAAAAAAGAATCATTTCTTAGCAGAATTAGTTTTCGGGCACAGAATCGTTGCCGTGCACACCCTAAGTCAAAGTCCGTGCCAATTTTGTGCCCAGCCCTCTAGAAAGATTCTTTCTATCTAAAGAGAAATCAACGTCTTTAATTTCAATACATAATTTTAATGATCGAAATGTGTTTGCAAATAATGGATTTAGGATTGAAATTAACGTCTTTTATTTCAACACATAAAGAGCAAAGACTTTAAAAGTGATCGTCTAAGTCAAAGTCTGCGTCAACTCTGTGCCCAGCCCTCTAGAAAGATTCTTTCTATCTAAAGATAAATTAATGTCTTTAATTTCAACACATAATTTCAATGATCAAAATGTTTTTGCACACGATGGATTTAGGATTCAAATTATGGCCATTTTTCTCCCTTACTCCTCAGTTTTATGAAACGAGGTAGTTTCATAGGATTCTACTTGTTTGCCCGTTGGGTTCTTTTTGTACCCTCTTATCTCACATCAATGACAAGGCCACTAGACATCGGCCCGTGGTTGAGCGGCATCGATCCTCTATTTTGCTCTCTAATGGACAATTAATTGGTAGCAAAAAAAATAAAATAATGATAGTAATTTACTTGTGAGAGAAGGTTCATTCGCCACCATACTTAATCTAACTAGGAGGTATTAAAGCCTGTGAATCACGGGTGACGGCTAAATTCGGGCACAATTGCGATAATTTTTCATATCGAGACAGATATTTTAATTTTCAGGATGATAAAATATTAAAATGGATAATTATTGTGGCAAAATGCTTTTGAAATGACCTAAAAAAAGTCGCCTGTTTCACAATGCATACCTATTAGAACAAACAAGCTGTGAATTAGTCATGTCCACAGATTGAGGAAATGGTTTTGAGATGTATCAGAGTAGCTTGCACGGCCATGGGTTGAGGAAATGTACCCGTCTCTAGCCAGTAGCTATTCTCTTATTCATGTACTGATCTCAAGAGAAGGATTTCTACAATCACTAAGGCTGGCGACTGGCAGAGGGAAATAAGGAAAAAAGAAAAAAGAAAAAGGAAACGTAAAAAAAGGGAAAGCAAAAAAGAAAAAAGGAAAAAAAATTCAGAAAATTTTAAAAAGAATTATCAAAATTGTCAACTTTAGTGTCGGCCATATCACGTAGGATAACCGGCACTACTTAAATCGCCACGTCAGTATTTTCAGGCCAAAATTAGTCGGGAGGACTAAATTGACAAATCATAAAAAGATTAGGACTAAATTAGCAAATCGTTAAAAGATTTAGGATTAAATTAACCAAAATTAAAAGATTTAGAGCTGAATTTGCACAAATATAATAGGTTTATGACTTTTTTTTTTGTTAATTTCCCCTACAAGTTCCTTCACACTAGCAACCAAAATATCACAGCTACTCAAAGAAAATAGTATCCCATATTGATATTATCGGGGATAATCCCATATGATTGTTGGCGCAATCACTAGAAGTAGTATATATTGGAGGATTAGGAACATGATGATCTCGAAGAAACGAACTCAACCATACTCATCTTCTTCTGTTATCTAAATTTTCCATTCTTTATGAGGTGATATTCATTGTTCGTGGTTTATGGCTGAACGTATTTACTTTAAATCCGCTCCACTTGTTATTATATGAAAATATCATTTGAGACTTCATTTCGTTCATCGTTAGTGAAATATGCATTTTTCTCCCTTAATTTGAAGGGAAATTTGGGGCCCTAAGGGGAGCGGGGGCCACCACTAGCCCCAGGGGCCTGCACCTCCCTAGGTCTGTCAATGCCCCTAGATATTTTTGCCGACCGTATTTATTAAGCAGGTGGAAACCGATGTGCTTGGAAAAGTAGGTATAATAATATGACGGTGAATTCCAAAAAAATCTCCAATTTTATGTCAAGTCTCAAATCTACTCCGAACTTCTCAAACTTTATCGTAAAAAAATCATCAAAATTCAATTAATTTTCAAAAATATATCACATTGATCTAATTCTAACTTGATATGGTACTTTCACGTCGATAACAAATCCATATCAGCAAAGTAATGGAACGATAGGTATAGACCAACATTATATTTTCACTTCGATAATAAATCCAACCCAATAAAAATTGTTAAAATTCTCTAAAATAAAACCGTTATAGGATATGAAAGTTAGGAACAATAATAAATTCATTTCAAATTTTTTTTTTGTAATTTAAAGAAAAATTCTATTTTTAGGTTCAGTTTAAATTTTTTCCGAAGTTTTCTTTATCTAAAAAAGTCTCATTATTTTATCAATGTGAATTTATTATGGACATGGAAGTGCCACGAATAAAGGCACCTTCTGATAAAGAACGCAAGGAGCAGGAAAATGGGGAGACGTTGATGGTGGTCCGCTGAGTTGCGTGTGGAATAAATATATGGTTCCTGGTGAGAACATAATAAAGATTCACAAGGGCACAAGTCAAAGTTGGCGGCGGCAACTTTATGCACAGCCCTATCTAAAGATAAATTAACATCTTTAAATTACTTTTCTTTATAGAAAAAGGACATTGCAATACACAGTTTTTTTCAATGGTTCAAATATGTTTTCACAATGGACTTAGGATCAAATGGACCATTTTCCTCCCTTCCTCCTCAGTTTTATGAAACTAGGTATCTGGTTTGGGGGGTTACTTTCGTCCCTCCACAAACCACAAGTATTTATTCATAGTCAATGATCGAGTTGGCAAGCACTTAGCCAGTGGTCAGTGCATGGCACGCAGTTTTCTCTAAAATCTGCTTAGAAACTAAGAACAACATTTCATGAATATGAATAACAAAAGTATATAAGCAAGACTAGGATAGAAGCTTCACAAAGGAAATGTCCAATTTTGGAGTCCAAGCGAAAAGTTACATAGGAAAAACACTAACGAAATAAAAGCTCTAATTTTTAATGTGACACATCCAACTTTAGACCTCAAGACTGACAAGACAGAATGTTTTGTAATTATGCCTATTCCAAATTTCTGATTATCATTTAAGCGAACCGGATCAAGCTTAGTTAAATGGGGTTAACCCGATCCTACCAGTGAATTGCAAGAGTAGTGTTAGAAATACTAAGATTCGTCTAGTGAATTAATTTACTTAGTGATGTGATAATCCATAAATAATTATTTTTGTTAGCAAAATCTTTTGATCACTCAATAGAAAATCTATCATTCGACTTAGCAAACAAATTCGGTCAACAAGTGTTAGTATGCCTAGATTATCATAATTCTTTCGATGATATTTCTAACTATTCAAAAAATTTCAATTAGGATTCAAGCACAAGGGTAAAAAAAGATTCTTCATATGCGGTTGACCCGAAGCAACCCGGAAATTCCAAATTGGATTGGCCCAATTTTTTTGCGTGTTTGGGTAAAATGTCCACCAATACCTTATTTTTCCACAACGGATTTTAAGATATGCCTTTTGGCAAAAATGTGAATCCCGGACCTGATAACCCGCCTGTCGTCTCATCCTTCCTCGCTATATTAAGCAAAAGCACATCTGTAAATCTTATGATTTCTTATGCATGTCTTTAGAAAGTTGGGTAATATTCTATAAAAACGTGTGAGATTTTGATTGTTTTTCTTTATAGACGGCAATTCCTCACTGTCACTGCGTGCTCTCTCTCTTTATCGGAAGCCCACAATCGTGCACTGCGAATGGCGAATTTCTCTCGACTTTTTTCACAAAGAGAGAGAGAGAGAGAGAGAGAGAGAGAGAGAGAGAGTTAGGGCGTAGGAGAAGGAATCGGCATCATTTCCTTTTCATTTCCACCCTTTTTTTTGTTAATGGGAATTCGCGAACTTGTGTGGGATTCGACTGATGCTTTTGTGTGATTTCGGTGATCATTTGCCCTCGCGTCGATGGAAGCAAGCACTTGGAGCCGCCACGTCAGCAAGACGGCATCATTTTCGTGTCACTCGCCGGGAGAATGTTGCCACGTCGGACCGAGTGCGCGTTGATGGGACTGCCCACTCGCGACTTTGTATACTTCCTTATTCAAGTGAGGTCACTAATAGCCGATACAATACGATTTTCATCCTTTAATCCTTTTTAATTTCAAAATTTTTTTCTTTTAATGTAAAGCAACTCTTAAAGCGGCCTCCAATGTCCCATTACCATGAAAAAAAAGTTTTTTGTCAAAAATTTATGATGACTTTTAGAATGATGCTTTTTATACAATTCTTAAAGCTTAAGCAAATTTGAATTCTAGAAGCTTAAATAATCGAAAGGAAAAGTCAAAAGTCGAGCACGTAGCACAATCCTCTTTCCTCTTTGCGGGTGGCGCGCGCTCCCTCTCTCTCTCTCTCTCTCTCTCTCTCTCTCTCTAGCTTGCTTTACTTTCTGTTTCCGTATTTTCTTCAGCTTGACTGAGCTCATTAAACAATCAAATCTTGAGCAACAAGAGAATGTGAAAGCTCAGGCATAGTCAATGCCTTAACCACCAATTAAACTTGCCACCTAATATAAACAAGAAGTTATCATTGATGACCAGATCATTCCCCTATTGAAAAGAGTATTCACCATCTTTGCTAGGTGATGAATAATGCAAACCAATACTTGGAAGTAACTTCTGATTTGTATGACAATCCATAATTTGCATATTTATATATGGGTTTACTTGGTTTTTTGCTAGGCAATCCACATGAAACTTGCTAGATAAGAAAAAAGCCAATGACTTGCTCAGAGTCCCAGATTTACTCACTTACAGTACTCAAATTTTCATATTTTTCTGAGCTTACACAGTCCTGATATTAAGCAGCGTCCATAGCCTTAGAAACAAGCTTAGAAGCTGAGAGAGAGAGAGAGAGAGAGAGAGAGAGAGAGAGAGAGAGAGAGAGAGAGAGAGAGAGAGAGAGAGAGTAACATTCACTATTCCTAAGACCTGATACATCAAATTGGATGACAGAGCAACAAGAGATCTAGGTGCAACTCTTCTGGAGATGCCCTTGAAAGTCCGCATTAACTTCCCCTTGTAGGTCACTATAAGCTGTTGACCATGAAAAAGACATCTTGCTTCATATCTACGCGCTTGATGCCGTCACAAGGTATAGCGGTGTTGAAAACCGCAGATTGAAATGGCAACCTAAACCTGTAAACTGGAAATCCGATGAGAACCGAAGATTGGACTGGATATCATGAAAAAGATTGGATTGACATCTCAACCACAGCAAAGAAGAGGCTAGCCACGACATAACCAAGGCCCCAACAAACCTGCAATGCAACAAGCAGATTTTAAGATACGCTTTTTGGCAGAAATGAATCCCGGGCCCGACAACCCGCCGGGTGTCTCATCCTCACTATATTAAGCAAAAGCACATCTGTAAATTCTGGGATTTCTTATGTATGTCTTAGAAAATTGGGTAATATTCTACAAAAATGTGTGGGATTTTGATCGTTTTTCTTTATAGACGGGTTAACCACTAAAAAGATCCTGACTTCTGGGTTCTGGCCATCAAATTAGTCCGATTGGGCCACACAATCAAAATCCCACACATTTTTGTAGAAACAAAACATGCGCGTAAGAAAACTAAACTTTTCATGACGTCCTCTTTGAGTATGTTTGGTCGAAAGGCGGTGATCAACTTCCGACGTTTTCTTCTAATTGTGTTTCATCACATGTTGGCTGTCTAGAGTAGCGTCTTGTATGAATCAGCGGCTGGCGCATTAGCATTGCATTGTATTACAGTGATTCATGAGCGTTCTTTCCATATGGGAAGGAAGTAGGAAATTTGATGCGTTTAAAGTCAATGGTTTAGAATAATTTGTAATTAACTTGTCCATCAAATGAAATTTTTCGCAAACCATCCGACCATGCCATGCTGTGTTTCTGATTTTGGCAATCCATACTCTTTTAAGTGTATTTCCATAAGTTCGTGTATTTGGATCTCAGACACATTCTTTTAATTGGAGCTTGTATGGTCCTTTTAAGGGGCTGAACCTTCAGTCACAATCCCATTGCAATCACGTACTTTCTGTCATAAGTCTTATAGAAAGTATCAATAAAACTGAAAAATTTTCAATCACTTTTATATCATAATTCGATGTATGCCAACTCTCCCAGGAACGGTGCCACAGAGGGATTATAGCACACACGCTCTATTCTTTCTTTTTCACTTAGAATTCGGCAATTTGTAACTTCGGTTTATTAGTACCACTTTCATAATCCTAGAAATGTGGTAGGAAGTTAACAACGTTTTAATCGGTCATGTTGGCCCAGATAAATGGTCATCCTAAAATGTTCTACTGAATCCGATCTGAACTCAGTCCATACTGGCCCAGTAACCAGGAATTCAAGCTCCAACCTGATTAACGGAGCAGCTTAGAAGCACCAACAATTAGAGAGCATCGGCATAACTCGTCCGACGCTAATTTCCTAAAAGAATCTTCCATCCGAGGTCAACAATTGCGTGCAATAGCTCAGCGCGGTCCGCTTTCGAAATGCTTCCTGTAGCTGCGACGAATCTGCCCGATATCGTCTTCCACTTGACTTCCATAATGGATTTCTTAATCAATGACCAAGAACAGGAAAACAAGGATAAGATAATGTAGTTTAATGAAACTTTGACTGTGTGCTCTTTTTGCATATCTCCTTTTTTGGTGACGTGATGAAGTTTCTCGCTGCATGTGAACAGACTTTTCTTTGTCAACACGGTGGGAATTCGGTCAAGGACCGGAACTTCGCTGATGGAGCTTCAAACTAGAATAATGACCCCTTAGAAAGACGGAAAGAAGGAACCCAATTAGTCTCAAAGTTCACAATTTTATATTTAAGCTCGTTGATGAGTGCGTTTTGATCACTAATTGAGGGTTCGATAACATTGGAAATTAATATCTAGTCATTTGACATGTCCAAAAGCATGTAAACAAGACCTTAAAAGGAGCTACTTTTAATGTTGTCCGGATGGCAAGATGGTTGGAGCAGACTGTATTCCATCACCAGGCTTCAGTTGGAAGACTCTGATGCAAAAGGCAGTTTGGGTTCCCTGTCCACCCCAGAGAAAATGCGCAATGAAGACTGAAGTCACGGGGTCGATTGATGCTATGGACTATGAAGTGGTCCATATAGTTGCCTTTACAATAGATAAGAAAATGGGAAATCCGTGATTTGCTAGTCAAAGTAATGAACTTTAGTTAACGTTTCATTGTCAGATAAACATCTTACCAGTCATCCTCCCTCTTATTTCCGCTACCGTTAGTCAAATGCTGACGTTTAATGCTGAAAACGCAGAATACAGTCCAATTAAAAAACCATTCACCAAGTCTACACTTCTCATATTTTTCGCCTATAATTACGTTAATTACCGCAAATAGAAGTCCCTTTATCCCTCCAAAAACACACCTTAAACCTTGAACACCCGAAAGATGAATGTCCTGTGTCGTTTGCTTGTCACAGGAAGCTTGGTTTTGTGCTTCTCAGGCTTCGCCGCCGCAGTCGACACTATCGATGTATCTCAACCGTTAAGTGATAGTGAGACAATAGCTTCGAGTGTGGGAACTTTTGAACTGGGGTTTTTCAGTCCAGGCAGTTCGAGGGGCCGTTACTTGGGAATTTGGTACAAGAACATCCCACTTAGAACTGTTGTTTGGTTTGCAAATAGAAGCAGTCCAATTAATGACTCTAGCGGCACGCTGATGATCAATAGCACAGGCAATATAGTCCTCCTAAGCGACAACAGCAGTGTCGTTTGCTCCGCGAACACTACCGAACAGGCTGAGAATCCAGTTCTACAGCTCTTAGATAATGGAAATCTTGTGCTGAGAGATGGCAAGAATGACAGTTTGGATACTCATTTGGGGCAAAGCTTCGAGTACCCTACCGACACTTTTTTGGCAGAAATGAAGCTTGGATGGGACTTCAAGACCGGTCTCGATCGGCAATTATCTACCTGTAAGAGTCCAGATGACCCGTCTCCGGGAGATTTCTCATTTGGGGATGGCCAACCGTAATTTCCCTGACATCGTAGCATGGAAGGGCTCCGACAAGTACTTCAGGACCGGACCATGGAATGGCCTTCGGTTTAGCGGCGCGCTGCAACAAGGGTCCAATTCCATTTTCTGGTATAATTTTGTATCCGATGCAGAAGAAATTTACTATATGTATCATAACACCAACAAATCTGCGCTCGTAAGGACTTGCTTGAATCAAATAAACTACTTGTGGGAGCGGTCCATGTGGAGCGAAGCGACTCAAAGCTGGAGGCTCTTCCTCACTGTTCCAAAGGACTACTGCAACACCTATGACATTTGCGGTGCCTACAGCAAATGCATAACTAACCAGCTGCCGTATTGCCAGTGCTTAAAAGGATTCACAACTCAAAATCCGGATCAATGGAACTCCACTGACTGGTCGCAAGGATGTGTTCAGAATGAGCCTCTGAACTGCATCATCAGCGATGGATTCATAAAGTATCCTAACATGAAATTGCCAGACACTACTCATTGTTTAGTGGATAGTACCTTGAGCCTTGACGATTGCTGGACCAAATGCTTGAACAACTGTTCATGTACAGCATATGCAAACTCAGATATCAGTGGACGAGGAAGTGGATGTGCAATGTGGTTCGGTGATCTGATAGATATGAGACAGTATCCAGATGCTGGGCAGGTTCCATATTTGCGGATGCCAGCTTCAGAAATAGGTACTATCTTGTTTTGGCATCTCTTAGAAAAGTAGATCTTGCACTAGATTTCCGTTTCATCTATCATTATTTTTCCTATCAAATGTGAGCACACACCTTTCAATAGTCACCCGTCATATTTGGCATTTATATGTTTTTTATGCTAACTTTTCAATTGAACAGGGAAGAGTAAGTCCAAGGTGTGGATAGTTCTGGTAGTTGTATTAGCAATTGCCATAACTACTGCCATGCTAGTCGCCATCTGTTATGCACGCAGAAGAAGGAAAAACTTCAGAGGTACATATTTCTTCTCATGACTCTCCTCACAATACTTAGTTTTCATGCCAAAGAGAAAATCTGTGGTCAAGGAAAAGAGAAGAATATCGAAAATTATCACTCTAAATTTGAAAACTAAAAATTTGGCATAGTCAGAGAGTTGCATGATACCGCAGAAAAAAGTTTGTTCACTGGTTTGATCAGAAGTGGGACTTACAGTGCTTCCCTGCCTTCTTTTTACTTGAGCTAAATACCTCAGATTTTCCATTTTAGAGATAGCAGAAAATATATCTGAAGGGCGAGAGTGAACACCCTGATGATGACTTGGAGCTCCCATTATTCGACCTACACACAATTGCTGAGTCCACAAACAATTTTTCAATGAGGAACAAGCTAGGTGAAGGCGGTTTTGGACCAGTATACAAGGTAAAACAAAATTTGGAGTGGACTATCCGAAACATAGCACAATGATCCTGCTTTTGGAATTGAATCTTCCCATTGTTATTTTTTTTTTCCAGGGTATACTTGTAGATGGATGAGAAATCGCTGTGAAGAGACTTTCAAGTAGCTCTAGGCAAGGACTGAGGGAGTTCAAGAATGAGGTCATACTAATTGCGAAACTTCAGCACCGAAATCTAGTAAAGCTTCTCGGTAGTTGCACTCAGGGAGACGGAAAAATGCTGATCTACGAATACATGCCCAACAAAAGCTTGGATGCGTTTATTTTTGGTAAACTAGCTGATTCATTTCGGGTTTAAATACAAAATGTAGCTATTGCCTGGAAAAAAAAAAGGTATATGAGACATGGGACTGACTTGACTAAAACTTGACAGAAAAAGAGAGAAGTAAGATATTGGATTGGCACAAGCGGTTCAAAATGGGAGCACACTGACCAAACAAAGAGGGATACAATATGAAATCATGAGTGGAGCAATTAGACCATGTTAAACACTCATTTGCCAGAAGTTCAAACTATCAATGAACTTGCACAAAATGTGTATCAAGCATACTCCTCATAAGGGGATACAAATGTCACATTTACCATGAAAGAATAAAGACGGTAAGAGAGACCGAGTTTCCTTGATAACTAATTATTCTCTCTAAACTCAAAAGGCTATTACAGATATTTGACTGAAGATAATTCTGGTAACTTTGATCAATCTATATCCTCTATCAAAAACTAATTATTGAAAGAAACAAGTGTCTAAAATCGTTTACTCTCATCCTGCTGCAATTCTTAAACAAAGAGAACAAAGGTTCTTTCCACTTGTACTGAAGCTGATTTTCTGTGTTTCAGGCTACTCCATGTTGTTACAGCCAAACCCTGTTTAGTCATGCCAAGCATGATGCCACATATAGATCCAATTTCCACTTTATCTAAAATCTGTGGTACCACCTAAAAAAGGGTGTCGTATGCACCCATTACCCCATAAACAGGAAGAGAACAAATGATTTCATACTCCCCCAAGACTATTCCACACATGCAGAAATCATAAGCACTAGAACATGAATTTGGAGACCAAAGCATCCTTCTCATACCGTGCAATGGCCGTCTACAAAGATAATATGAGGTCGATACGGTAATTCAGTGACCCTGGAGGAAACGTATGCATTGTACCAATCAGTAACATTGTGAAAGGTTTGCATATTCAAAGCGGGCGATAAGAATTGTTGGCTCCTTGATCCACTGCGGCGTCAAGAGAGATAACGTTAGAGAGAGATAAAATGAAATGAAGAGCAGAGAAAACAGAGAGAAAAGTAGAAATAGTCCACATAAAAATGATAGATAAACAGCTAGCAGGAAAAAACCACCTGTCTAACCACATTGGTCTAGACTCTAGATCCTCAAATCTTTTGTTCTCATCTTTCCCAGAATCTAGGGAATACATGATCAGCCAATTGCAGTTTCAGTGTAGCCAGAATTTCCAGCGTCGCGACAACCATTGGTTCTGCGCAGCCATAATCAATCATGAAAGGGTGGAGCTACCACAAAAGATCACCTGTCCAACTGAATTTACCTGGAACCTAGATCTTTCCAATCTGTGTGGTTCCCATGTTTCTCGGAATCTAGGAGATAATTAATCACTTGTTAGCATATTCAGCTTTCATTATCACTGATCCCCAAACTGTAATAGCATTCAATCAATTCCATAGCTAAAAATGCATAGCAATTTGTATTGCACTCCCCTAACAAATGACATGACTTTGGAGCTCCATCACCATTGATCATTATCACATCCTACTCCGCCATAAAACTGCGTAAAAGCCGCAATGCCGAATTCCCGTAACCACCAGTCAATTCCAGATTCCAACTGATTTGGATCCTAACTGCACGACTAGAACGGAGACGAGGACGAACAGATGGATCAAAAAAGCATAACCTGATCGCACCGCAACTCTCCCGGTTTGACAGACACGAATCGACCCGACCCGATCAAATTACGAACCGGATGCCACTTATCCTGGTCCACGCAATTATCCAAGAACTCGATCGCTCAGGAGACCCAACTCGCCGCCGCCGCCACCCTCGGCGATCTGGAACGCGCCGTCCTCGAACACCCGCATCTCCTCCTCCTCGCTCCTCCCCATCACGTCATCGTTGTGGATCTGTGATGAAGAAGCTTCCTGGGTTCGCTTCGGGGAAGGGTGGAAGTAGAGGTAGAGAGAGTTTTTTTCATTTTTAAAGTTTCGTTTATTTTCCTGCTAGAAAAAAAAGTATTTTTATGCATGGTAAAACGCCCAACATAAGGTAATAAATCCAGAGGAAATCACAATCTTTGACCATCAAAGTTCTGAATCAAACAAAATAAAAATCAGTACCTTTGATCATCAATTTTTGTTTTTGTGAATGAATGTATTTATAACGCATCCCGTGCATAATCGTTATTATCTTGTATAGACGAGCTTCAGAATTGTACTTACAAATTTATTGAATATCTCATTAGATTGAAAACAAAGAGTTTTCGTACAGGTAACATCAAAGAAGTATCTCAATCCCAAAATTAAATTAGAATAAACTATTATGGATACAATTTTTTCAAATCACGAATAAATCACCACAAATTTCCAATCAATATACAATTCTAAGAAGCAGCATGATTTTTTTTCCCTTATGCCCCTATCCAAGAAAGAAGTAATTAGAGATGAATTTGTTTGTTTTGAGGAGTTTCTTTTCTTTTTTTCTTCTTCAATTTGAACAAAACTTTTTAAGTAGGAGCCGGTTTTCAGGAAGGAGAGACATCTTCTTGTTGTGGACCACTCTTTTTAGCTTTCATCTTTGGGGGTTGTGATTGCAATGTCCAACCCGTCTTTGGAGCCTTGTACATTTGGACAGCTATTGATATAAACGCGACCGGTCGATTGAATTTGATACTTATCGCAAATGTAAGCGCGTGTGGGTGTGAGAGAGAGTCGGTCGACGGAGTTTACGTTCGTCTTTTTACGCATAAAGTGGAGTTGAAGTTTACGTACGAAATTGTCACCGTCGAGACCAGTGACCTTGGTCCGAGGACCATCTCCAGCACCTCAGGCACGAAATGCCTAAACGTGCATCAGACTAGAGTTACAAGAGTCGCAATCGTTTTTGGTTAGCTGAGCACAAACAAAATGGCTGGGGTGTGCTTTGTCGGATGCATGACTGGCTGTGGTTAAGCTGCATAGCAAGTTCTTTTCAGTCTCACAAATGCAGTGTAAACCGTTGCTTCAGCCAGTTGATGGAAAAGCTTTGAACTCAATCAGTCCCTCACTTTACATCCTTTTCCTGAGAACAATCATCTTATCCCGACTCGAGCATCAAACAACAAAGGAAAGCCAAATGGTGAACACAGTTCAAATTAGATTCGTCTAATTAGTTTTTCCTTCTTATGCAAGAAACTAGAGGAGAATGCATTGTGAACAGAAGCAACTAGAATCATATGTGCGATAACTTGTTACGTGTCTGCTTATCGAGACACTATAATTTCTAAGGGATTGAATTCATAGTCTGATGACTTCTTATGCCGTATGTTGCAGGAGCTGAAACAATTGGCAATCTCTCGGACTTGTCCTTGGGAAGAAAAGGCTCTCTCACGATGGTTTGTATCTTGAACGCCATCTTCAGTTGCTTGACTACCTTCTCTCTCCGGATTACTGGACCTATTGCCTCCTCTGCTTCATTACCGGATTCAGCACGGGCGGGGTTGGCCTGTGCGCTTTCGTACTATCCAACGAGCCTACTGGCCCAAAGAAGTGCGGGGCGGCAAGGATTTCCACTTTCTACTTCTTCTTGTGCGTCATCACTCCTCTCCGGCATCGCTTTTGTGTTTCGATTGTGGCGGGCTCTCTACATTTGCTTCCTCCATTCCCTCCATGTTCTTCCTTGCGAGGTCCTCCCTTTCATCTCAGAGTCCCCATGGTGGTATCTCGTCCGGGAGAAGATTAATGAGGCCATGAAGCTTATGACGGGTATCGCCAAAGCCAACAAGAAACACCTCCCCAGCGGAGTCATTCTCGCACTCGATGAGGAAACGAATGAAAACTCGAATAACATTCGATCCTACAAAGATCAAATGGACACAAAGAATGTGATAACAGGTCTCTCATTGATGTGGTGAAGTCGCCTATCACTCTGATTCGCCTTTTCTTGTCCCTGGCGATCAACTTCCTGTGTTCAGTCGGGTACAATGGCATTAGCCTAAACGTCATCAATCTCCGCCCCAACTTTTACCTTAATGTATTCCTCAATGGGGTGGCTGAAATGCCAGCTTTTATGATGCCAGCAGTCTAGCTCGATAAGTTCGGGAGGAAGCCATTAGTGATTGGAACAGAGTGGTTCAGTAGATTCTTCTACCTTATTGGGAGCTAGATGATGCTACACGCGATATGGAAAGTGGTGAGGATGGTGTGTGGAATTCTTGAGATTTGTTTGGCATGGCTGGCATGTACAATTTGGTCTTCATCTACACGACGGAGCTGTTTCCGACCATGGTGAGGAATGTGGCTCATGGCTGTGTAGCTCAGGCGGCGCAAATGGGTTGTGATTTTAGGAGGCAGCTTCCCAATTGCGGTCTTTGTGGTTTTTGCCATTCTGGGAGGAATACTAGCGTTTTACCTGTCGGAGACGGTGAATCAGCTCCCGTATGACACAATGGCTGGAATGGAAGCAGGAGAGAGTGCAAGCACGAGTGTGTGAAGGAACTCAATTCTCTTACTTTAAACTAAACTTGATTAATGTAGACTTAAATGACTGTTCTTGATAATAGGATTTCCCATCCTTTGTAAAAGAATTGAAGGGTCACGTACGGTCACAGCAGCATTGAATACAGGAACACATGATCACTTCTTTCTTTTTTCTTGGTTATGCCTTTTGGACCTGAGAAAGCAGGATGACAGAATCTGTCTTCTTAAACAAGGAGAGAATGCTTGCCAGAGTATATCTTTCAAGTAGGTTGTGTTGCCTTAAAGCAGTTGCCATCACATGATTAGAGCGCATTGTACTGATCTTCGACTCATAGTTGTTTTCAGATCAAGGCATTGTACTCCACATAATGAATCTATCAATTTTACTGACATGAGAGTATTAGGCTATATTGTTCACGGCAACACATGGTGAGCTTACAATTCAGTGACTTCTAAGGAATCAGAATAACTAACCCTGCCATTGATATGTTCAAAAAGAAAACATGTATGCCTAACCATTATGCCACCAATGATTTTACTTTGATCCTCTTATTTAAGCATCCAAACTGTGTATGTGAATGGTATCTGCCTTTATGCAAGAAGATAGACCCCACAAGTACTTTGAAATAAAAAGTCGAATTTACCACAAGACCACTACTTAAGGGACTACCCACACTAGGCGGCACAACCAACTCAATGCAGAACATGCAGAAAATTGCATCTCTCAGACAAGGAAAAATTTCTGCTTTTCCTTGTACTTTCACGTTTTCTCTAATTACATTTTTATACTTTTAGTATGTCTAATCCAATTCTTCTACTTTCATAAATTTTTTAATCAACTCCCCCGACACCAAATCCGATCAAATTCAATTGATGAGACCATTAGACAACACCAAAGTATGATTATCAAAATATGTGGATGCCCACATAGATGTAGGTGGAAAAATATAGCCATGTAGACAATGTCAGAGTTTGATGTGAATAAAATTTAGCCAATGTAAACACTCACTTGGACGTCCACATTAAAAAAAGAAATCCACATCATACAATGACATCGTTTGAGGCCACTTCAGCTTAGATTATGTTAGATTTGATGTTGGAAAGACTCGATTAGAGGCAATTTAGAATTTTAACGTCAAGCTGACTAGTTGTTTTCAAATGGAAGTAAATAATATGCAACGAAGAATCATCATTTAGAACAGAGGAATCATAAGTCGAGCCATGTCGATGGAAATAAACATATTCAATACACATGCTACATAGAAACACTAGACATTTGCAAGATGCCAGTTGAGACTTGAGAGAGTATCTATTGAAGCAACGAAAACAAAGGCAGGTGAGAAGAAAGGAAAACAAACCGAGAAATACAAAAATAGAGATGGTTGACATAGATAGGAAAAGCAGGCATAAATTAAGTATATGTCACCACAGGAACAGGAGGTACTTTGAAAATCAATCGAGCAAGAGGACAGTTCATCCTCAACTGATCATCTGCGGCTTCATCAGTCTAGGTGGAGAAAGATTAAATTTTGTTAGTCATTTGCAAAGATCATCATCTTCCTATATAAAATATAGTGCCCCATGGCCATGACTATTAATGAAAAATCTATCAACATATGTATGGCGATGAATTTCGATAGAGCTTACCAAAAACATGATCTGGGGTCCATTCGCTTGATGACACCTACACTCCTGCCTAATTTCTGGCCAATGTTCGCCCTTTTGAAATCTCAATCTTCAAAGATTTTACTAGTAACAAAAGAAAACAATCGAAAGAAATTAGAGACTTCTTTTGCTAATCAAATTAAAGAGAAAAGAATTTAAACAATCCGAAAAAATTAGAGACTTCTCTAGGCAATCGAACTTGATGAAATTAAACAGAAAGAAATTCAACACGTGAAAATTTGCAATTGGAAGTTCAAGAAAAGTATTCGTTTTTAAGACTCCGTTTATTTCGTGGAAATAAATGATTTTGAAAATATTTTCTAAAGAATGATCGTTTAAAATAATTGGTCAACGAAAATATTTTTCGTTATCGACAACAATATATATCTAAATATTTTCACAGACGATGAAAACAGTTTCGTTTATTCATTTTTGCAAGTAACGCAAACAATTATTTTTAGGAAATTATTTTCTAAATTATTAATTTTTCGTGAAACAAACGTATCCTAAAAATAAGAAAAAAAATTTACAATGATTTAATTTTTTTATTACAGTACACTGATTAATTTAAAAAAAAAAAACAATTGAAAGAAATTAGAGACTTCTTTGACTAATCATATTAATGAGAAAAGAATGTGAACAATCCGAAGAAATTAGAGACTTCCCTGGCCAATCGAACCAAATCAAATTAAACGGAAAGAAATTCAATATGTGCAAATTGCAATCGGAAGTTTGAGGAAAGTGTCCCTTTCTAAAAACGAGAAAGACTAATTTACACTAGTTTAACTTTTTGCTTAAAGTATTGTGATTAATTTCAAAATCTGATTGGACTTTGAAAGCGAAAATAGAAGTAGTGGATGAGGTAAAACAGAAAAGGCAACAAAAAGAAAAGGTAAAAAGTATTTAATATGCTCTCTTAAACTCTCCCAACTCCTAAAGTAGAACTTAAGAAATGACTCGATATTTTAGCACTTTTAAAATGTCATAATCTACCAAAATGAAGAAGAAATGTAGTACTTTTAAGGTGCAACAGGGAAAAGAAAGGGTGAGGACCGTTGCCAGTAGGGTGTTAAATCCGAATCGAGAT